TGGTTGGGGGTGGTGGGCATATTCATGCGTAAGAGTGATTTTTGTCATGTTGATATTTGGGTTAAAATTTTTGCGAAGTTATCTGAGTATGATTTCAAAATGATTGGCTTGAGTCGATTTTTACTGTCTTGGTTACTAAGAAATGACTTCCAAAGTTTCTTTTTGCACGTGCTAAACCTTGTGGTAAGATGGATGTTAATGCATGTCAGCTGAGAAAATTCTCGAGTTTAAGTGCTTGATTTTTGGTGAGTTAAGAGAGTTGAGTAAACGACTTTTGAACCTTCATTGACTTTTTTGAGCTGGTAAAATCACTGTTAGAACATCATTACATGGTTAGTGGTATGCTTGGTGCATATGCTTGAGGGATGGATTTTGGGTTAGATAGGAATGATCTTATGTAATAGAGCCTCATTTCTTATTTAAAAAAAAAAGAGAAAAAGAAAAAGAAAAAAAAATGAGCAAGAGCAACATTTCACAGATCATGTAGTTTGGTCGTAATCACATTTGATGTTATATAGATGTTTGTCAAAAGAATACCTTTCTACATTCACCTCATTATTGCAGGTTGTCTCTTGCCAAAAAAAAAGTAGTTTATTTTTGGCTCTTTGATCGTTTCTGTAAATTTCTGTTTGATCCGAATGAAATCACAAAAGCTGGTTTGTGGTAAGAATGGTGGAATGTTCTAGTAGTTGATTAACCTATCTTTTGATCAATGTTCGTTTGATTGTTTGTCCTAAATTTTACCTTCCTCACACTGAGCATTGATTGTTCTAATTCTAACTCTATGAGAGAAAACCTTTGCACTCAAATATTTCTGACACCTGTGAGATGAATGGAGTTGAGACTTCTACTTGGTGAATTTTTCAAAGCTGCATGTGTTATGGTCAGTGGTAAAAAGGTTATGGTTTGGAGCACACACACACGACTTTGGAGTTATGACTGAAATAATCTCGATAGTATCTTTTGACTTCTTACTGACACTTTGTTTGAAATACTCAGGTGACTAAGCTAGTTGAGACTCTGATTTTCTTCGTGACATGATTTCTGTTGCGCTTGGATTGCTAGAGACTAGCAATAAGCTGGTTGGGGGTTGTGATAAGTGCATGAAAATGCACCCTAAATATTGCTTTTGACTTACATAATATTAAAATATTTAAACTTTAATTAAATAATTCCATTATTTTATTCATAATATTTTTAATTGGAATTTTCTAGTTTTTACTTAATTATTTACAAATGAAAAGCAGTGTAAAACTCTACACAAGAAGAAGCCATGAAAGCCATGTTCAATAAGTCAAAATTAAGCCACACGAGCTAAGAGCCGCGTCAGCCCAGTGAGCCATCAAGCCGAGCCTCCGCGTGTGCCCAGCTCTCTCCCACGTTCCCCACTCCATCTCTCGCGCGTCACTAATACGCCGGCCTGCCAAGGCGCGCGTTCTTCTTTCGTGCGGTCTCCAGCGCGTCTGAATCTCCCACCGCGTGGACCCCGCGCTTGCCCACGCCAGCCTGCTCTCCCCTCTACGCATGCCACTTGTCAAAAGCGGGTCCCAGCTGTCTCCAACGCCAGCATACTTCCCCCAATCCGCCCGCGACATGTGGCGTTTTCTCCTCATTGCCAATCACGTTGTGACACGTGTCCCCTTGTGTTGAATCTGAATTTCTCTATCAAAATCAGACGAGATTACCATATTTCTTCCTCAAATCAAATATATGATTTCTCCTAATTTATGTGTAATTTTATTTTGTTTCCTTTTCTTTTTTAATTTTCTATTTTTATTGTTTGTTTCCTTATTTGACAGGCAACCTCTGAACACTATAAATAGAGGGGTTAGCCTAAGGTTTTAGGGAGCGTGGGAGAGGCAGTGGTCGGTCGTCTTGCGGTCAGTCTCATATTTTCTCTCTAGAACTTGTGAGAATGTTTTGCAAGACAGGCTAGAGTTTTCTTGGTGAGGTTAGAGATGAACTTCTGTTGAGTGACCCAATTTGGGGTTTTGATCCCTTGTGCTGTAAAGTTTAACATCTGAATAAATTAAATCTCATTTATTTTTCTATTACTTTTCAAAATATTGTGTGCCAATTGTTATATAAGTTCAGTCACGCTTTTCTTATGTAATTATGTCACGCAATGTTTTGTTATTCAAATTATTTTACAAATGGTCTTTTACTGTAATATTGTCAGATTGATATATTGTCGATTTTAGATAACTTGTAATAATAATATTTTCTGAGCCAACATAGAGATTTAATTTATTCGATTATTTTATTTTGTGAATCAAAACTTGAATTGGTGAACGAAGCATTAGGGATTCTCGACACCTTACCGTTTTCTTCATACAGATTTTCTCCTTTTTATTTTATTTGCAACAAAAATCTCAAAAACTCTCATGATTCTTTAATTCACTTTTCTCTAATGCTCTTATTCTGTTAATCATTCTTGTTATTTTGTCATCTCTCTGTGGATACGACCGCCCTTCTGTGCTACAATTGACTGCTTGTGAACATCACTCTTGGGCGTTAATCAATCACCTTTTGACATTGTTGAATTAAAAAAAAATAGTACTACAATATTCATTCCCTAGGTCTAGAAAATAGAGGTTGTTTTGTGTACTACCCTTCCCAATCATCAAGTCCAGAGTGTTGTCCTGAATCACACATGAATTTGGGAGAAAATTAACACTGCAAGTATGACTAAGAGTAAGCGCACTAATGCTCAGAAGATTGAAAGTAAACATGGGAACATATAACACATTATTCAAGCTCAAGGTGTCAGACAATTTTACAGAATCGGCGCAAGTAATGTCAGAAGTGTGACCATTCGGAAGAGTAACTGTGGTGTTTGCGATAGGTGTAGAATGAGAAAATAGGGAAAGATTGTGACACACATGATGTGTAGCACCGATATCAATAATCCAAGCATCAGATGGAATGGAAGGATGAGAGAAAGAAAGGGCGAAAGAGATATTACCACTGAGTTGGGAAACAGGGGAACCCGTTACTGGTTGAAACTCAGGCGGCGCAATGCTTTGATGTTAGAGCCGTGTGCTGAGGTACGCAAGGAGCTGTTGAACCTGATCTGAAGAGAGCCGTGGTGGCGGAAGAGAGCTGCCCAGTCGGTGAGAACTGTCCCATCGGTGACGAGAAAGCTATAGTAGCAGCTGTGGGAGAAGATTGAGGAAATCAAGTCGGTTGGAGATGATGTGTAGGGTTAGGGATGGATTGTCTCTGTTGGGCCTGTAATTTGGGCCTGGGCTTGTAACCTGGTGGGTAACCGTGGAGCCTATAACAACGATGCACATAATTCCCTGTGAGGCCACAATGCGAACAAATCGGGCGGTCTCATTTAGGCTTGTTCTGGGAAAAAAAAGCCACCGCAAAGGGAGCCGCTGGAGTGGGTAGGATGTGTGGAGCAGAAGAGGCGCTGAAAGCCAATGAATAAGCTGGGACAGAAGACACTGGTCCGATCAATCGTTGTCGTTCCTCTTGAACAACTAGATTGAACACTTTCGAAACAAAGGGCAATGGATCAAGCATCAAGATCTGGCCTCGCGTGCCAGTATAAGAGTCATTAAGGCCCATCAAGAACTGCATCACATACTCTTGTTGTTGATAATCCATCCACGCCTTCATACCGCCACATTGACAAACGGGAACTGGCTGAAAATTCTTGAGCTCATCCCAAAGGATTTTCAACTGAGTATAGTAAGTGTTGACGTCAATGGAACCTTGAGACAGGCCGTGCAGCTGTTGCTTGATCTGAAAAATCCTAGGCGCGTTGCTCTGATGAAACTGATCATGTAGATCTGACCAAACGGCATGAGCACTATCAAGATAGAAGGGACTATCAGCGATCTCCTTGGAAACAACGTTGAGCAGCCAAGATGTAACCATACTGTTACATCTAGACCAGACACTTGCAGAAGGATCCTCTGCGTGAGGCTGCAAAAGGGTACCGTCAACAAATCGAAGCTTATTTTTGGCATTAAGGGCCATAAGCATAGCTCGGCTCCAAGTGTTATAGTTGGGACCGGTGAGAATATGAGAAACAAGAGCCAAACCGGGATGATCGCCATTATGAAGGAAAAGTGGACTATGGATATTATCCATGGAAGAAGGGTCAAAGCAGACGCAATAGTAGAAGAAGAAGTAGGGGTTAGTGCCTGAAAACAGTTGGCATTATTGTTGGGATTTTGACCTCCACGGGCCATGGCTCAGAAATGAAGAAGAAGCAGAAGAAGCAGCGAAAAAAATATCGTTCTGATACCATATTACAAAAAGGAGAGAATAGGAAGAAAATGATTCATTCTCATATTCATTGATTAAAGCAACCAGAGGTACAGAGCTTATATAGCCTGGGAAGGCTTTACATCATGCACAAGGTCACGCATAAGGAGCTGTACAGCTCAGCAAGGGAATAACCAACAATTTGTTATAACAGAATGAAAAAGGAATAAACGAGAAAAGAATAGGAAAATAGGCTAAAATACTAAAACACTGCAATTTACATAAATATATTCAGATATTATCTGCAGCTAAAGGTCTGAAAAGTAATAAATGACTTCCCATATGAATGCTTCTTATGTCTAATGGAAAAAAAAGACAGATAAATTACTAAACTCGATTAAGAGTTTGTTCTTTTAGATTATTTAAATTATGATTTGAGTTGTGTAAGTGAGAGAATAATACTGTAATAAAAAAGTTAAATTTAAATTTTTATAAAAAAAAAACACTGTAACTATACCCTAAGCTTTTATTCCCAACGCTCCTAGTTAGTTTTTTCAGTTGGCTATAAGAAAATAATTAACGAGTTATCAAGTACCAAATAAAAAATCGGCTCATGGGGCGGAAGAAGGCGGATGAGGAACAATTTATATATAATAACAACTTGAAATATGTGTTCATGTATTAGAACTATTTGTGATTTATTTAAGTTCATTTGGTAATTGTTATATTTATCTCATTATTTGGGTTTATTACGCTATAAATAGAGCAAATGACTGTATTTCACTTTGGACCTTGATGATTCCGTCATTTCTTCCCCACTGTTATAAACAAACAACTCAAAGCTAAGTACAGTTAAGGATGAAAAAACAAAGCCGAATACAATTTTTTATCCATAATTACGCGTACGTTGAATGGGCACTTTGATCTGTAAAATGGCAAAGAATCACCAGTATTCCATGCAGGAGCAAGTGCCATGTTTGAAATGATGGAATCTTGTGCGATCTCTCATGACAATCTCCACACTGAATGCAGTGGAGATCAATTTGAATACCTCATGGCAGTCATTGCATACTCTAAGGTTCTTAAAAATACGTATTGGCGTGCCCGATTTCATGCTTAAAAGCCCAAAAGCAAGGGCAATTCTCTCGCTGTGCAAGCCAAGAGAGTGTTGCTTTGTATCGCCCTGCTCATCAACCAGAGGCGCCTGTGAATAGTCAGGTGAATACCCCATCAACTTAAGTCTGTCTTTAATCACATTCAGGAACTGATATATCCCTCTACTTCGAGGATGAGAAGTGTCCCCAGCAAAAAATTCATGAGTAATTCCTTCCACCTCTATTATACTACACCCCGGTTCTTTCGTTACGCCATCATCTTCCATCAATTTCCTCACCAACCCAACATCGTCCCATCGAGAAGCTGAAGCATAGACTCTTGACATAAGGACATAAACACCGCTAGAAGCACCGTCTCCTTCAGACTCAAGAACCTGTCTAGCTACTTCTTCACTTAGCTCAACGCTCGCATCTTGCTTGCTACAAGCATCAAGTATACTCCTCCAGATTACAGCATCGGGTTTCATTGGCATATTAGTCACGAAATTCAGAGCTTTGTTGATGAAGCCAGCACGAGCCAGGAGATCAACTAGGCAACCGTAATGCTCTAACCGTGGTTCAATCTTGTACTTCTTTATCATCTTCTCGAAATAGTTAAGGCCTTCACTAACCATGCCTCTATGATTACACGCACTTAAAACACCGACAAACGTGATGGAGTTTGGTGCGCAACTCTCCGTCCTCACCAAGCAAGAAAAACATTCCAATGCTGCCTCAGCCAGTCCATGCATAGCAAATCCGAGAATCATTGAATTCCACATAGTTATATCGCGCTTGGGCATTCTTTCAAAGACCTGCCGAGCAAGTTCCAAGCACCCACATTTGCAATACATATCCATCAAAGAAGAGCAAACCAAAACATCACTAGCTACAGCCGTGTCAAGCATCCTCAAAATATAAGCATGAGCCCACATCCCTAAAGCCAACCCACCAAGTCCAGCGCAGGCGTTTATGATGCTTTGCAACGTATATCCATCAGGCTTAAACACGTTCTGCATCTCACTAAACAATTTCAGCGCCGTCTCGAACTCGCCAAACTGAACAAATGCATCAATCATAGCGTTCCACGAGACGAGAGATCTCTCAGGCATTTTGTCGAACACCTTCTGCGCTAAGTCCAAATGCCCACACGAAGCATAGAAATGAATCAAACTGTTGCATATATAAACATCGGAACAAAACCCAAGTTTCAAAACATGGGCATGTGTCTGTTCCCCTTCGGAGAGGTCAAACAAGTACGCACAAGCTCTAAGAACAAACGGGAAAGTGTATTTATCGGGCAAAACAATCCCTTCCTCTAACATTCTACAGTAAAGCACGATGGCCTGCTCTTTTCGGTCGTCGCTTCGCGCGCATGCTCTGATGAGAGTGTTCCACATGAACGAGTTTGGGGTCTCGATCTGATCAAAGACGCGAAAAGCGTAGTCCGCGTCGGCCAAGGACGAGAAATGGAGGATTCGACTGTAGAGGAAAAGGGTGTGGGGATTGTTTGTGTTGGACGTTGTGCGCAGAGTTTGAGCGTGTATCTGCTTGAGCTGAGACATGTCTTTACATTCGTTCAGGAATCGGAGAAGACGGGCTTGGTGGGCAGTTGAGACCCCACCGTTGTTGTCGATGGTGATTAGGGAAGGTGGTGATTGGCCTTGTGTGATTGCCAGAACCATTGCCGCGCTGTGATTGTGAAAACCAGGGACGTGGATATAAAAATGAGAGTCCTACTATCCGGCTGAGGATAACTGCAGCTCCGCATGGCTTCGCATGGTTGCTGTTATCTTTTTATTTAATTTAATTTATTTATTTTTTTTTTTTGTATTAGACTAGCCAAAAAAAAAAATGCGCAAACTGAAAACAACAGTTCTATAAATCACTAAAAAAAACGATAAAAGAAATAAAGATAAAAAGTGAAAAAAAAAATCTGAAAAAAATACAGGAAAAAAAAGAGTGGGAGTTGTGCCACGCGATAGAGTTGTGCGGAGTCATAGTTCTGCGATGCCGACTATCATTTTTAATACAAAGCCTTGTGGGCTCTTTTAATCTTTGGGTTAAAAAAAATAAAAATATAAACCTTTTGGTATTTTAATTTGTGAAATGATCAAATTATTCTTAGTAGGAGTTTGCATATGACATCTGTCCTTGTTTCCAAGCAGCTATATAATCATTTTCTAAAGATAATTTGGTTATTTCAGAAGTGAAAATCAAGTTTTGTATCAAAAAATGTATAGATTTGAATGTATATTTTTAATGAGAGTAAAAACTGACATATACTTTCTGAATAAATAACATGGTATAAAAAAATAAATAACCCATATAATTTTAAGAAAAATGGTATTTTGGTCAAATTAAATAAAATAATTTTGTTTTTTAATATAATTTTAAAGTCTCTTTTGTCTTTCCATTCTATTCCTATTACCATTATCAATCCATGAGCATTACAGTAATGCAATTCAACACAACTTTAGCGTATTACGTGTATAAAATCAAGTTCACTCTTATCCATCTAATAAATGTGTTGGGTTTTCTCCATTTAGTAATTGGGTTTTCTCCATTTAGTAATCGAATTTTATGTTTCGTGTCATGTTTATTTTCTAACTTGCCACTAGGTCTAGTCCGTATTGACACCATGTCTTAGTTATATGTAACTCCTACATTGATATATGTTGTTGTACAATTTATGTTGCTAGTTATATTTTCATAAATCTTTTCAATTTGATTAAATAATCTTTACAATGTGCATTTTATACGGTAAAAATATTTTGGAGAACCTCCAACTTATTAATATGAAATATTCAAGCTTCTATCACGCACTAAGTTGTTTTTTGATATTATGTTGCGGGATGCAGAAAAAATCATATAACAAATTCTATTACAAAATGTGTTACTTATTTTAAAATTCAGTGAGATCATAAATTAGATACGCTAATTTAGAGATAGAGTATGAAATTATCACCCAACTACGTCTGCGTTAGTTTGGTCATCCTTAACATTTATCACATTACAGTAAACTATGTAGCGCTCTTCTTTCTTTCTTTCTTGTTTTTTTTTTTTTTTGGAACTATGTAGCATTGTTCTAATTGTTAACGGCACAAGAATCTAAAAGAGTCTGTTTAATTCGTTAATTCGAATTTAGATCTGATTTTATATAAAAAATTTTTACTGTAATAAAAAATTAAATGTAATTAATTTTATAAATTTCTTATTATAAAAAAATTTAAAATTTAAATTTATATGGTAAAATGAACTGGCCTAAAAATATCTGAAAGGTACAGAAATTCTGACCCTTGTTCATTCCGTTGCATTGTACCGTAAAGACACCAAACAAAACAAAATTTGTGCCTCGAGACATTCGAAAATCAGACAAAATAATGTCGGTTTGAACTTTATTTAGGTACGGTTTATTCATGTAATTTTCACGTGACAAAAATTTATTACACTGGACTAGGCCCGGAAGGGCCCATGACTGCAGAGGCCTGTTATAGATCCGCTAATAGGGTCGGGTTGGGCCCATGCCCGTCACACAGCAAGTAGCTTTCGGATAAAACATTACAATTGACAATAAAAAAAGTTAACACGTCTCGGTCTGACGTAAATTTTCCTAGGCCAGCACTATAGAGCTGGACCAAATAATTGAGGTGTGGAAAACGACAGCGAATGGGAAAGAAGATTTTATAAACAAAGAAAGGCAAAGGAAGGAAGGAAAAAAAAAAAACGGTGTCGTATTTTATTTTCTTATTGCAACGACCGACCAGATTCCATATTTTAATTTAATTTTATATATAACTGTATTTCGAAACTGTTGCACAAAGCAAGATACTACTTTACAGTCACTACTTGGCTGCACGTTCTCATATTTTAATATCATGAGAAAATGAGTGTCGGTAACCTCACAGCTCCGTCACCAAATATTCAGTGAACATTACAAAAAATCCTTAACCACAGAGCCCGTCTTATTCTAATTTTTTTTGAGGCGTTTAAAACTCATTTTAAAATAATTTTATTTTTTATATATAAATAAAAATAAAAATGTTTTAAATTTTAGATACAAATTATTTTTGAAAATATATTTAGTAGTTTTATCAAAATATTATTTTCAGTGTAAAAAATTCATTAATGTTTCTTTATCTCTCATTTTTTATTTATCTCTAATTTTAAACTAAACTAAAAAATCATTTTTATTTCTGTTTTTTATCTTTATTGCGCCAAACGCCGTTTTAAAAACGATTTTATCTTTTTTCTCAAAAATGTGAAAAACAAAAACATGATTAATTTCAAACACGGGCTTTAAGTCAAAAAACTTAAAAATAAAGAAGAAAGAATGTAATTCAAATCTCAATATTTATTTTTATCTATAAGGAGAAATCTAGAAACGAAACGGAAATATCGTTCTAAACGACAACTTGAGAAGCCCGTATTTTATTTTAATAACAAGAACAAAGTAACATGAAACTTTCCAACGCTTTATACTCTCTCTAGCAATTTTTCTTTTTCGGTTAAATGTCAAGAGGAAAATACAAGAGTTATGACAAATTTCATTAAGCTTCTTGTTTCTAGCCACCGACTTTCGCAAACAAAGAATTAAAAAAATGAAAGGGCAAGAGTGAAACTTTTGATGTATATAATTTAAGTGAGTTGATAAGCGTATATTTTTTAGATTAAAAGATATTATGAGGATTCAATTTTGACAACCAAACACTTCAAACGTGTCAACAATTATTAATAAGAAAAGTAATTCAAAGTTAAAACATTGCATTTGTGATTGTACAATTTCCTTTTCAATAGTTTTAATTTCCCTTTTAGAGAAGTACTTATACTTGTAAAAATTGTATCAATAAAATTTTGCTAAGTTATTGACACAAATTTCTTACTCTCTCTAATCTCTTTTAATGTATAAAATTCCCTTTTTGTCACAAGAAAACATATCATATTTATTTAGTGTAGTATAAAGTCGACAAACGCGTAAAAAATGTCCAAAATTTTCTATTGGACATTGGGACCACCTTGCGGACTAGCTGTCACCGTAGCTTTATCCACAACAGTTGAGAAATACCCGAAATAAACGCGCAGAGGAGCTTGGAAAAGTTTGAATAATGGCGGAGACGTTCGAGTGAGTGTAGCTCTGCGTATTCTTTGGGAGAAAGACGGAGAGAGAGAGAGAGAGAAAGAAAAGAGAGAAAGTCTTGGTCTTCAGTCCTTAGTTTTACTCCTTCCATTTGCTTCCCAAACCGCCCCACTCGCCGGAGCAATCGGGTTCTCTCTCCTCAATCCCAAATTCACCACAAAAACACGACAGAGAAAGAGAAATTCAGAGAATAGAAGGTTCTAGAAGGTTCTGGAAGGGGAGAGATGGGGGTGGATTACTACGAGGTGTTGAAGGTGAAGCGCGACGCGACGGAGGAGGAGCTGAAGAAGGCGTACCGGAGGTTGGCGATGAAGTACCACCCGGACAAGAACCCGGTCAACGAGAAGGAGGCTGAGGCCCGCTTCAAGCTCGTCTCCGAGGCCTACGACGTCCTCTCCGATCCCAACCGCCGCCAGATCTACGACCTCTACGGCGACGGGGCTCTCAAGTTCGTCGAATTTCCCCCTTCTCCCTCCAGCTCCGACGCCGACGACGTTTTCGCCGAATTCTTCGGCGGAAGAGGACGGGCAAACGGTAATGGAGAGTTTCGGCGACAGAAGAGCCGGAAGGCTCCGGCGATTGAGGAGAAGTTGGGTTGTAGCTTGGAGGAGCTTTACAAAGGGACCAGAAAGAAAATGACAGTTTCCAGAAAAGTTCTTGATGATTTCGGGTACTTATTTTCATACATATTTCGTTGAGTGATTTGATTTACATTTTTTTCTTTTAATACTCTGTTTCGAATTTTATACGTAGGGAATTAGATTTCGGATATTTGTTTTTATACATGCATACATAAATACATATATACACACATATATATATATATATTTTTTTTTTTTTTTTCTGGAAGTTGGTGTGATTATGGATGAGAAGATGGATTTTGTTGAATGATTTCATTGATAGATTAATTCTTAAAGCCTGAATTGCTGGAGAACTTTTGTTTCTTTTATTTGTTCTTATTTGTTCTAGGCTATCATGGGACTGTTTCGGATTTTATACATAGGAAATTAGATTTTAATAAAATGTGGATCCTTTTGTGAACTACATAAGACTGCCCAGGTAACATGTCATTTATTGTTGATTTGGATCTTGGATGACATTAAAGCTACAATCTTTAATCAATAAAATAGTCCTTTTTTGTCGCAATTTGATTTTATTGATTACCCTTTTGCCAAATTTATCTTTGAACACGTTATTTTAGTCTCGTTATTGTATTTTCAATAATTGATCCTATTACAGTAAGCCAAAGACTGTTGATGAAGTGTTGAAGATAAGCATCAAACCCGGTTGGAAAAAGGGAACTAAAATAACATTCCCAGAGAAAGGTGATGAAGAGCCAGGAGTAACCCCAGCAGATCTTATATTTGTGATCGAAGAGAAACCTCATCCTGTTTTTCGAAGAGATGGGAATAATCTTGTGGTGAAACAGAAGATTTCTTTGCTTGATGCTCTTACAGGGAAAACCTTAAATCTGACAACCTTGGATGGGAGAATTCTCACCATTCCAATCACAGATGTCGTTAAGCCTGGTCATGAGGTTGTTATCCAAAATGAAGGAATGCCCATCTCTAAAGATCCCACCAAGAAGGGAAATCTCACAATCAAGTTTGATGTCGTTTTTCCCTCCAGGCTCAATGCAGAACAGAAATCTGATTTGAGAAGGGTCCTGGGTAGAGCTGAAAGCTAGTTGCAGAGTTTTATGAGTTTGAACACTAATTGATAGTTTATAATATCAATAAAATGTTGCAAGTGTATATATTTAAGTTATAACGTTTCTGATGTTTAAGAGGAAGATTGTGCATAGTAGGAGAATTTGAAGAAGTGGGTTAATGGGGATTTAGCTGCCAGATGATAATTTGGCCTTTAATGTATTTAAGGCTTTGTAACTTTTTCTAAGTGGTGAAGTAATTATTAATTAGCACCAGTTCTGTGTTCCAGAATTGCTGGAAAAAAACCATTTTGTATTCTGTATTTTGACTTTTGAGAATCATGAAATTCAGTACATGGTTGTTTTTTTATTTTTTATTTTGTTAATAAATTCAGTACATGGTTATAAAGGCATCTTTTATCTCACCGATTTGAGTTTTCAATTTTAATTTTATTAGAGTTAAAAGTTCTCAAAAAAATCATATTTAACTTTTTTGCTATAATTAAAAACTCTCATATAAAATCACATCTCAACTTGAATTAAAAACTTAAATCAGGGAATCTGAAAAATGTTAATACGAATTTGTATTATTCTATTTCTGAAATTGGGAATCTGGGATTGGGCTACCTACTCTTGGGTCAAGTCTAAAGTTGATTGGTGGCTTGATCTGGATTGCACAAGTTGGCTTGTAGCTGTAGCCAATTCTTATCTTTCCTTTCCTGGTATCGCAAAAATATTGAGCCAACCAAGGAAGCATAGTATTCTACTATTTAAATTTAGCAAAGATCGTATTCCTTTTTTATTGCTTGAGTGCCTACTTGGAACAATATTTCTTTAAAGACACTGATCGGCGTTTTGACATCATACTTGCAAACACTAACAACCATACATATAAATGTAAGGGAATGTATTCAATCCCGCAGTCTTATTAGTCTGACAGTTGTAACATTTTTTTTGGTCTATATAATATTATTAGGGAGCGTTTAATATGCGGTAATCAACTGTAATCATATTTCTGAAAAGTGATATTGTTAGGGAGCGTTTAATATGCGGTAATCAACTGTAATCATATTTCTGAAAAGTGATAGTAAGTAATATAATTTATAAGAAATATATATTATCATGTTTGATTGCACGAAGGAATCTTTTCTCAGATTCCTAAGAATGTTTAACACTGTGTTTGATTGTGTACGGTAATATAATGTATTTTTACTTTTAATAAAAAAAATCAGTATTTTAAATTTAATTGGACCTTATTAATCTAGAGAATTATCATTTTAATAATATATTTTAAGGAAAATCTTAACCTAATAGAGAGTATATACAAAATTTAAAAATGAATTTTAAAAAAGAATTAAAAATAGAAAATAAATAAATTGATAAATAAAGAATTTCTTAAATTTTAAAACAAAAAAATTTTAAAATGAAAAAAAATGCTATCTTTCTCTCTCTATCGTTTCTCTCCATTCTTCCTCTTCGCACTCTTCCCCCCGCCACATCCCGCCGCTGTGAACGTCAGCCTAGCCCGAGCCAGCCGAGTGTCGGAGTATCTTACCCAGACGGTGGCGGCCTTAGCGCCATCTAGATCGTTGTCGGAGAAGTAGAGGGCGGCACTGAGCAACTGGGTGGAGCAGATCGGGGACTCGGTGGAGGAGCTAAAGAAGACGTTGAGATTGATTGAGGCTTGAAATAGAGGAGGGGAGTGCGACGGCGGAGGAGCTTGCGACGGTGGGGGAGTGCATGAGATTGATTAAAACTTGAAATAGAGGAGGAGAGTGCGACAATGGGGGAGCTTGCACGACGACGGGAGGCGGCAAACGGCGGTAGATGGCGGCAGACGGCCGAGGATAGGGAACGGATCTGCAAGGTCAAGGTTGCGGAAGTGGCGACAGTGATAGTGGAGCTATGTTGGTGAGATTGTTGTGGTTTTGAGATTTCAGAGAATGTGAATAACACCCTCTTGGGTGTTATTCAGATTACCCCAAAATAGAGTAAATTCTCAAGAATTTAAAAATTATAATTCTTGTACCAAACATAAAAATCTTTAAGATTCTCATGTCCACCCTCAAGATTACTGTATACCAAACTCTTCCTTAGTGCGTTCGTGTAACACTTATTTTATCTAAGTGTAACACTCCATAAAAATATAATCTAATATCATGTTCAGACTTAAAACCATGCCTATATATAATATCATAGGGGTATTTGTAAAGATGTTATTTGTAAAGATGTTATGTACATTTTTATGTCCCGTTCATTTCACCGATTTGAGTTTAAAATTTGAGTTTTGCTACAGTAAAAAACTCTCAGAAACAGTCACATTTAACTTTTTTGCTATAGTAAAAGGCTCTCACATAAAATTACATCTCAATTTAAATTAAAAACTCAAATCACGAATTAAACAGACCCTTAGTTGATTCCGACAGTACGGAAAATATACCTCTAGGCACAATAATTACATATACGGTACAATTTATGAAAAAATCTGGTTGTGGATTTTCAAAATATATAGAAATTAAAATTGGGTCATTATTGGGTACACGTAATGTTGATATAAGGAATAACTTTTCTACTTTTGCATGTAAAACGTTTTTCTTTTTAAATCCTTCAAGATAAGAAACCAAATTACATGTTTAGTTTGTTGACTCGAGTTTTTAATTTAAGTTAAAATGTTACTTTATATGAAAACTTTTTATTATAGTAAAAAAATTAAATGTGACTGTTTCTAAGAGCTTTTTACTGTAACAAAACTCGAATTGGTGAAATGAACAAGATCTATGAGAATCCATACCCAACTTGGTTAATTAAGTAAAGCAATCCCATATTAATCCCACTACAAACCAACCATTAATAACGCAAATCCTCTTTCATCTGCTCACTCAAATTTGCTTTATTAATTATAATATGGTAAGCAAGAGAGATACATTTTCTCTTGATGATTACATGCATTTATAAGTAACATTAAAAGAGTGGTAACTAATTAAGCACGCTAGCATAGAGTATAGAATAAATAACCAAAAAAAAAAAAAAGTTGGTGCCACCATATTAGTAGTTAGCTTTATTCCAATTCTCTTAAATCTTCTGCCTTGTTTGAAACGACAAGATCGTGTATTTGAGAGACTTGTTGATCAGATCACCATCATCATCAAGTTCTTCACGAAATCGATGTATATGATCAAGTCAACAAATTTGACTTTCTGTGCTTCTCAATCTTCTTCTGCAAGTCCTCTTTCCTTGCTCCCACCACCTTATCAACCTGGTCTCCATTCTTCATAAATAAAAACGTAGGCATTGCTTGAACCCCATATTCCGAAGCCACATCCTGTTTTCATATCATGTTTAACATGTTGTAATCATATATAATCGTATTGATCATTATAATTACATCTATATATATATATATATAAACAAAACTAAAAAAACAAAAAAACAAAAACAAGAAAAGAAGTATATAGTGAGTAAATTATGAACACATACCGGGAGTTCATCAACATCAATCTCAACAAAATCAACGTCAGTGTATTTCTCTGAACACTCTTTGAGGGTCGGCTTCATGGACCGGCAAGGTCCGCACCATGTCGCCGTGAAGTCGATCACCACCTTTCGGAACCAAAAGTATATGATAAGGAAAAAAAAAATTAAAATCACTAATAACCAACCAATATTGATCAAATTAAATATACGCACACTTCAGGAGACGTTTGATTCATAGATTAGAATCATGAGATTAGAACTATTTTTTATTTACGTGTATTTTTTATGAGAGAAAATACTGTAGCGAATCATGAACCATGATTCGAATCAGGGTACGAATCCCCTTACCAAACGTAAATTGATTTCCTTAAAAATTGTAGCACATGTATGTGTACTATATTAATTACCAGCTTGTTAGTATCCTTGCAGGCATTGAAATATGTCTGCCATTGGTCCTTCTTGTGGAAAACTTTGATGCGGGATTGGGATTGGGATTGGGATTGGGATTGGGATTGGGATTGGGCTTTAATAGTATTTGCTTGGCATGATGTGTTTTTATTTGCCCGGCATGATGTGTTTTGGGGGGTCTCTAAGACGGCTCCCATTTTCTTTTTTCTTCTTCTGAAAATGGAAAAGACAAATTAGCTTTGTATAAATTTAGAACTCCAGTGGAATGGTTGTGGGCTTGTTTGGCTTGAGTGATTATTTGGATGAACAAAGGAGGGGTTTATATAGATTTGAGATGGGGTAGGAAAATTTTTGAAATAATATATAAATATATATATATATTATTTGCTGATGGAATCTGATTCTGGACTTTGCCACTATAGGTGACCACTTATTACTTAAGTGGACCACTAAAACAATTACGGAAAGATTTCAAAAGCATAAAGTTTTATTCATTATTTGCTTTAACCAGACAAAGATAGCTCTTTGATTTGAGGAGAGATTTCATGATAAATGCTCGGGGCACTAATTGTTGTCTGTGAAGTTTTAATATATATACCAAATCGTACAGCATAATTTGTTGGACTATTATATAATTAGTAAACGATATTTGATTTAGACATGCTTTTATTGTTTAATTACCAATTAAATCTGTTTAGTGTTCATAAGTAATAAACAAGTTCTAGTTGGTAACTCTAGGCTGTAACATGCATTGCTTATATTTCAATTTGAAATTCAGAATTCTCTAGTTCGTTAAAATCCAGATTTTGTATTTTCATGTATATAGATTAACAGACTCCTTTGGGACCAATTAAGGAGCTGCCAATAACGGGTGAGTTTTTTTCGTTGTCCTATGAGGTTAAAGTTGTAATTTTCAACACTGATCGTGAACATTCTTTTCAACGAATTGGATGCTGATCTTTAAGAAAATGGTCAGCTCTATTAAATAAGAATGCTGGGAATCAAAACTATGAGCTGCCTGTTACTTGGTTTTGCCGGCTGCAATATTATGGGTGGAGACGGGATCCGTGGCCCCACTAGTTTTTTTTTTTTTTTCTTTTAATATAAAACCTTCTTAAATTAATAATTCTTTACATTTTTTACTTAAATATAATATTAATATTTTTATGCGTTAATATATCATGAATTAATTTAATAAATAAAAACGGTTATATATATACATGTTAATATAACCTTGATTAAAAAAAAAAAATTCCTCTACCAATAAGTCAGGGCTTCGTCTTTCCTTTTTGCTGAATTACTTGTCCCAAAAGTTTTAACTTCGCTAACATGATGCATTTCAACAGTTCACAAACCAAATCAGAGTCATATTTTTGGCCCGTTTATTTTACCGATTCGAGTTTAGAATTCGAGTTTTGCTACAGTAAAAAGCTCTCAGAAACAGTCACATCTAACTTTTTTGCTACAGTAAAAACCTCTCACATAAAGTCATATATCAACTCGAACTAAAAACTCGAATCAACGAACTAAACGGCTGTGTACTATATCATGCTTTTCCTCAACTCCGATAAATGGTTATACTTTTTTTTTTTTAATGATGAACATGATTATTATGTAATCTGACTATTTGAAACTCTGTCTTACCTAGAATTTCTTTTCATATCTTGTTACGGATCTAATATATATATTCAATAGATGGGAAAAGTACATAAAAATGTTATGCTTGATGGCTTCTGATCTTAATTACAACCGAATACATGCATGTGATTATGAGTTTGGTATTCCTTTTCCAACAAATATAGTAGATATTACGAAACCTAGCTTATATATTAATGTCTTCACAAAGTTTCAAAGTGATATTTAATCTACGTACAAAAGACTTTCTCATTTGCTCATAAATTTAGAGCAGCTTTCTAGTGATTGCATTACTGGATAAGCTAAGTCTAGTAGAATAAGTTATATATATATATATATATAAGAGAATTAAAGAAGTGGGGAAGATAAAAAAGAAGATAATTTTTCTGATGTTCCATCTTTTTTATGAATATCGGTATTTTTTGTTTATTAATTGTTAGATCTGTAATACTTTTTAATCTAATTTGACTTTTAATCAGATTTAATACATATCTGACGACTGATAAACATGAAATACCGATACTCTTAAAAAAAGATAGAATATCAGAGAAAATTCCAAAAAATAAAGAGAAAGAAAGAGAAGAAGTATTGAATGAAAGAATAAGTAAACCTCGCTTCTCTTTTTTTTTTCCCCCTTAGTAGTATAACAACACGTATGTTTTCTTACAAAAAGTGCGAGCGAAAATAGTAAGGGCCCATTTGATTCGCGCATTTAACTCAATAATTTTAATTTATTGACGAAAACTTTGTAAGGGAGCCATTAGTGAAAAATTTTTAAATTTAAATTCTTTATAAGAAAAAAAATATTGTAGTATAATTATAATTATAAATTTAAATATATTTGTCAAATGGACTCTAAAGGAATGTTACGTGACACTGTAAACACGTTTTCTGAGTGGACGCAACAATGTATTGTATGATGCGGGGGTGACAATTCGTGTCACGTGTCGTGTTCGTGTCGTATTTTGATCGTTTCTTTCTAAATTTGCAGTCAACCCGAACACGACCCGTGACACGAAATTTTTTAAAAACCGCAACACGAACACGACACGACCACTTTACGGGTTGACACGACACGAAAATGACCTGTGACACGAAATTGACCCGCGAACCTGAAATTGACACGAAAATTGTATATTTTTATTTAGTTTTTTACATATTAAAAATAACTTAAAATTCATAACACACTAAAATACAATAACATCTATTAAAATTAAGCAAATAATACTATAAGATTTTGAGTATAACTATCATGATATCATAAGTTAATAATAAAATCAAAATATGTAATGAAAAATATATGTATTTTTTAGTTTTTACAAGTTTCGTGTCATGTTCAGGTTAGGCGGGTCCAACTCGAAATTGACATGTGTTTTTCGTGTCAATTTCAAGTCAATCTAATTCTGATCCGAACCTCTTTTTTCTTAACTATAACCTGCGAACTTCGTGTCATTTTTTAATCGTGTTGTCGTGTCGTGACTTATATTATCGGTCCTATATATACGTAAGAAGAACAAAAGTTTTATATAATATATTCGTGGACCGACGTAAAGAACATAAAATTCTGTCGAACCTACGCGAGCAGTTGGTAGAAAGTTGCGTGCGAAGCTTTAAATAGTAAAAGATTATTCCCTTCACTTTACTTGTTTCTTCTATAAACGAAAAAAAAAAAAAAAAAAAAAAGGGATTGACAGGTAGATGATAAAAGGAAAAGAAAACGAGGAAGCTTGCTAATAAAGAGCGAAAAGCAAATTCAATGTTTTTTGTTTCTTTAATTTGTTTTGTGTGCGGCTAGGAATGCGTTATTAATGTGAAGTTGATTCTGTCATTCGGCAGCCCTTGGAGTGCTTTAACATGAACCTAGTTTTGGATTTCAATTTGACATTCGTCACTGAAATTATGAGTGACAATTCGTGTCACGTGTCGTGATCGTTTTTTTTTAAATTTACAGTCAATCTAAACATGACCCGTGACATGAAATTTTTTAAAAACCGCAACACGAACACGACACGACCACTTTACGGGTTGACACGATACGTCACGAAAATGGCCCGTGAACCCGAAATTGACACGAAAATTGTATACTTTTATTTAGTTTTTTACATATTAAAACTAACTTAAAATTCATAACACATTAAAATACAATAACATCTATTGAAGTTAAGCAAATAATAGTATAAGATCTTGAGTATTACTATTATGATATCACAAGTTCATAATAAAATAAAATATATATATTTTTTAGTTTTTTACGAGCTTCGTGTCGTGTTTGGGTTAAACAGGTCCAACTCGAAATTGACCCGTGTTTTTCGTGTCAATTTCAAGTTGACCCGAACCTCTTTTTTCTCAACCCTAAACCATGAAATTCGTGTTATTTTTTAGTCGTGTTATTGTGTTGTAACTCATATTACCGGCCTTATCTGAGATGATTCATGGCTATTATGTTGGATCGAATGCTTTGATCATCCTCTTTATCTTGTAGTGCTTTCAATTGCAAGGGCATCTATTCGCAAGGAAATTACCATTGGTGAGAGGAAAGGTGAAAAAGAAAAATAGAGAATTACTAAACTCACCCTTAAAAGTTGATGCATCTTAATTTTTACCCCTTACAAATCTTAACTAGTGGTATTTGTCTCCTTTAAAAAAAAAAAAAAAAAAAGACGTGGCCTAAGAGAAAACATGGCTTGTAGTCGTAGTCTGCTTATATCTCCCGATCTCCATGGCCAACCGCATTCCAAGGATTTTCTCGATTGACCAAGTAGCGTCAGGAAGTCCTTTGATTGGAAGGAAGTAACCGAGGTGTGCTCAGGTGAAATTCTTTAGTACGGTCACAGCTCAATTTGGTGGCATCAAGTCCAAGCATGGCGTGAGCATAAAAGGCAAAGTAATACGAGACAAGATGTTGGAAGAAATTTCTGCCCTCCATAAACTCAAAATGGCTTTCATTCAAACACTTTGGAAGTTGTTTTTGAGTCCAGAAAACCAAATAATTAGCTTTTAAAAACTGTGACCAAACTCAAGGCCACTTGACAAATTATTTGAGCATCTTGTCGTTTGTCTGCAAAAGTGACCTATGTTTTTTGGGCGCCACTACAATGCCCATTTGTATCAAATTGCATGGATGATTAGTCGGCATACAAGAGAAAATGCCCAATTGCACTCTTTCTTTCTTTCTTTTTTTCTTTTTTTGAGAAAATGCTTTCCGAAAATTTTCCGTGTGTTACAAAGCAACTTCTTTAGAGCAGTAAACGCATGAAACTTTTCACTACAAAATAGGGAGAAAGAAAAGGGTACTTGTGTTCTTCTTCTCAGTTAATCACTCGTCCCCTTTCTAAGAAAACAAAAGGTGCGCTTTTCTGTAAATAATCAATTGAGACTATCTAACGACATAAGGAGGACGAGATAACAATACAAGAATTAAAGGTAGGTCATTGGAGAGAGACATTACACTGCACAGCAACTATAACAGTTTCTTGCAAGCTGACCAGGAAGAGAAACTCGTGAATTAGCTAATATACACACACACATATATATATATACACAATTAGCCAAGTCATGCTACGCAAGAAATTAAGCAACGAGTTTCCAAGATTCTTCAAAGGAAAAAACATAATATGAAACACCCTACCCTTCGACTTCCTAAGTTCTACTTCAGATTCAACGAGCAAAACTAATAAAGTCATGCACGAGTTTCCTTTTGCAGACAGGATAAATCAGAGAAGAACAGGTCTCAAAAGAAACGACAAAAATATTTTTCCTTTTGCATGGTTTCTGATTGGAATCCTTAATTTAACTGAACTACAAAAAGAGTCCTGGATGATGAGCTCGTTAAAAGCAACCCACATTTCAGATCATCTTTCAGGCAAAGCATCAAAAGATTCACCACCCACATAAAAAAAAAAAGCTAGAAAGAGTCATCCCTATCAACAACTTACAGGAAAATCATGACCCAACCCCAACGCTGGCAGACATTTGACCGTCTTGAACTGAGCCATGATTGTTGTAAGAGGGCCCCCCACCTCTTCCACCCCTTCCCCTATTGTTATAGTAATTCCTCTGATAATAACCTCCGGGCTGGTCATAATACTGGTTACGGCCATTCTGGTAGGGTCCACCTCCTCTGCTACTTCCTCGGCCACCACGGCCATTGGGGTAACCCCTACGACCGCCGCCGCCGCCGCCGCCACGACCTCCACCTCTTTGGTTCTGATAGGGCCTGCGAGGAACATACTGCTGCTCTTTCGATTCAACATCTCTCTGACTGTACTCTATTTCTGTTTCTGGTCTGATTTGTTCTTGTTCAACTGGAACAGCCTCTGAAGGGTTTTCGGTCTCTGGTTCGTCGTCCTGTAAAGCAGATACATGTTATTATCTTCAACCAAACAGGAATACAATGCAGAGTTGTATTAGAGCTAAGATGACCGCACCTTATGAACCTCCTCCACAGTGCTTGATTGATTCTCGCCTATTTCATGTCCTTGAAAATCTGTTGTGCCTTCGTCCTACAGAACATCCAAAGTTAAGTGAAAAACGTACAGATACAACTTGGAAAACAATCTATTCCTTCTATTCCTCAATTTCCAAGGACAAAACAAAGATTATAAGTATACATACATCAGACAAACTTCATAATCAAGAAGTTAAGGTGTTATGTCAACACACTAATACAGAATCATCTCACATGAAAAGAAAGAGACAGAGCATCAGCCTTTCAAAGTGTTCTGTGCCACTGCCTATACGTGAAGCTTCAACTAAGAGTTAGGAAAACAAATGATCCTTGAACAGTATGTGCACAAAAATATTAGCTAGTCCAAGATGACGATAGGGCTGCCCTCCAATTTTCCACATAAGAAGATTGGATAGGAAGAATACGTAAAAGACTCCTAGAGGGATGATTTTATTAGGCTATGGGTAAATATTAGGATCAGGATGCAGGGAATTGGATATGCAAGATAGCCGGTTGGGAATTTACATGTATACAGAATTTTGAGGGAGGGAAAAAAAAATCTCTTCCTAGAGAAAACGTGCCTCCTCACTTTGAATGAATGATTGACGAAGAGAAAGTTCAGTGAAGCTTCGCCCTTAAAAAAGGCGGACCCCAGTGCCAAAGAGGCTCCCGTACTATGACAGGCTCGGGGGAAAGCTCAATCTCATATGTACGCGGCCTTACCCCCCGGAGGAGAGGCCGTTTCCGGGATTCGAACCTTGGACTCCGGGTGCAAACGCAAGCGCTCCCACCACGGTGCCAAGGCCCGCCTTCGCCCTTACATGAGATATTTTATTCACAATTACAATATACGTGGATAGCTACTCATTTCACCTCTGTTATCTTTTATTGTGATCACTTTTTCCCAAAACCTTTCTTTTCTTATGATTAGAGGGAAGGATCAGTCCTAAATGCAGTCGTGATCTTATATACGATACCACCAGAAGCACCTTCAATGATCTTCTATCCTGCTACGTCTTACAACAAAGCCAAATAAACAATCTAAAAATTTGTTAAGGAAACCCTGTATAATAATAATAATAATAAACACTCTGTTAGGATCCTAGCTCAGAAAATCAGCCAAACACCAATACCACACTCACACACACCAGAAATAGCAAGAAAATGAGAATTTTATTAATCTAATCAGCCAAGAACACTAAATTACACTGAAATGTAAATGATAGAACAGAGAATTCGAGTACTCCGGGAACTCCTAATTTAGTGGTATTCGATAGACCACCGCTCTCCCTAATCTCAGTTTCTCAAAACTCTCCAAATCACAACATACCTCTAGTGAGCTACTAAGCCCTTTATTTATACTAATTCCTACTAACTATACCAACCCACTAACCAAACAAGTTCCCAAGTCATTAACGGATCCTAACATTACCCCCGCCCCAAAGAAACACCTTGTCCTCAAGGTGTTAAGTAATCGCAGCCGTGTGTCTCCACTTCCTTCCGATTCCTATCACGCCAATTCCATTCAACCCCCCTTCTACCATCCCGCTCTTTGTAGATCCGACCCCAATCGGACCGAAATAAGAAGACCCAGTCCAAATGTCACTGGAATTGTCCTTAATCGCGTTGGAAGTGTACAGCCCAACCTTAACGGCATCGGAACCAACCCAAATCACGCCGGATTTGAGAAACCCACCCATTGGCTCGCCAGAATATGCCCTAATCACACCATAATCATGAAGCCCAGCCCCAATTGCACAGAAATCAGCCCCAATTGCGCGGAAATCAAACCCAATCACGCTAGAATTCCAAGACCCAATTCTAATTGCTCCAAAATCATCCCTCATGACACTTGGATTCCAAGTCCCAGCCCTCCCATCGAGAGACCCAGCCCCCAAATCGCCATAATTGATCTTAATCGCGTCGGAATTGCAAATCCCAGCCTTCATGGCGTCAGAACTAGCCCCAAGTACACCAGAATCAACCCCTTTCACGCCGGAATCGTGAGGCCCTATATCCAAACAGCAGCCAAATCGTCGAGCCCAGCCTCTGTCGCGCTGAGATCTGTCTCCGTAGCACCGGAATCAGCCCCTTTCACGCCAGAATCGCGAGGCCCGGTCCAAATCGGTCCGGAATCAGCCCCAACCGCGACCGAAACAGGGTTGGGTTCCCTGTTCCGAGGGTACCCATGCCGTCCCAACCCCGGAGCAAGCCTCTCCTCCTCTAACTCCGGCTCCCATTCTGATTCCCGTCGCCGAACAAGCTCCGCCGCCCTCTCCCGACGGTCACGACCTCCGTCTGCCCTCCTCCCGTCGTCGAACAAACCCCTCACGCTGCAGATCCGGACCACCCAGCCCCAAATTGCGACGGATCTCGCAATCCTCCATGAGACCAACGTCTCTCCGGCGTCGGAACTCCCTCTCGCGGCCTCGATCTTCGCAAATCGGCGCTTCCCGGCGAAGATCCGCCCGATTTGGCACCTCCACTCCGCCTGGGTCGACACGATCTGGGCTCTCCTCGCCCCGAGGCGCACGATCTCGCCTCTCCCCGTCCCGTCGTTCGCCGTCACGACCCAACTCGGCCTTCCCGGCCATCGGCCGTGCCGCCAGCAGTGCCTCCATCCTCCGCAGCACCGCCTGCATGTCTTCTATCTGAGTCCGAACCTTCCCCACCTGGTCCCGGAGCCCCCCTATACTCCCTCCAGAAACCTTGAGATTACCTCTCAGAATAGCCTTAAGTTTCTCTCTTAACTCAAAAGGCTCCATGGATCGTAGATGTTCTGATACCATTGTTAGGATCCTAGCTCAGAAAATCAGCCAAAGACCAATACCACACTCACACACACCAGAAACAGCAAGAAAATGAGAATAATTGGAGGGAATTTTATTAATCTAATCAGCCAAGAACACCAAATTACACTGAAATGTAAAGGATAGAACGGAGAATTCGAGTACTCCGGGAACTCCTAATTTAGTGGTATTCGAGAGACCACCGCTCTCCCTAATCTCAGTTTCTCAAAACTCTCCAAATCACAACATACCTCTAGTGAGCTACTAAGCCCTTTATTTATACTAATTCCTACTAACTATACCAGCCCACTAACCAAACAAGTTCCCAAGTCATTAACGGATCCTAACACACTCCCTATTTAAGCCTTTCCTAAATATCTTCAAATACTATCCCACATATAATAAGGACAGGCAAGCTTACTAATTATGACATGCAGTACTAGCAATATAATCACGTAAGAATCCAGTAAAAGATCAAACTACTAAATTATAAGTTCAATTTACCATAACAAAGGTCCTAAACTTCCTTTCTCAGGTTTTGGACTAAAAGGCAATACAAAAGCAACGTCAATAATATAGACTATGGAACAAAGTCCATAATCTTAGATGAAATCCAGAATACGAGAGATGATTAAGCAAATAGCAAACTAGGCAAATACAATATTCATGAATTATTCAATAATTGAGTGCTTCGCTCAACAGAAGCTTACTGGCTTGTGCATCCTCTCCTTAAAATTCTTGCCTAAAAAATTGTGAATCAACACTGAGGCCGTCATTCCTTGCCAAATCAACATGAGAGTGTCATTCCTTTTCTCCATCGTCTCAACTCTCAGGACAAAGACCAGAACACGCAGATGTTCAAAAAATAGCAAACACGGCCTCAACAATAACTTCATTATTCATAGAATAATTGAGTACTTTATAAAGCTTACTAACTGTTCATCCTCTCCCTAAAATTCTAAGCTTAATAAATTGTGAGTCAATATTGAGATAGTCATTCCTTGTCTCCACATCTCAAGGTAAAGATACTCTTTTAACTCCAAAGCCTACTAAATTAAAGCAGAAGCAGGTACATGAATCTCACACCCCCTGTCCCCAAAACACACACCCCAACCCCACAGTCCCAGCACAATCAAAACATCAAGAACTCGTATATGCATTGCAATATTTTTACATCTCTAGTAAAAGGAGAACAAAAGGGTGGGCAATACCAGATATTTTGCAATAGATTGAAGAATATTTGCTTTGATGAAGACCAAATGAATGGAGTGTTGTGGTCGCTGTAAGAGTTTACTTTCATATGAAGGGCTGAAAAGGATTTTGACTAATAACTAAAAGTATTTACACTCACCCTATTGCCATTGAGAATTCGCAGTTTTAAGCACCACTAGATACTTGTAACGCCGCCAATTCTGTGCTATTAATGCATTTGAAAAGAACAACATACTTCACCTTTTATAATCTCTCCCCTTTTTTATTTTAAACATATTCAGAAATCCCCTGAACTCACTTTGTGTGCTTGAGTTTGAAGCTGGAGCCCTCTATCAAACCCCACAATTTTTAGAAAGCGGGAACTGTGACTTTTGTCATGTAGGTGCCTATGAGGTGGTTTGAAGCCCAAACCTTGTGAGAGAAAACCAAAGGCCCGACCACTCTAACCAACACTCCATGGGTGCCAATTATAGTCTATCCTGAGAACTCATAACTACAAAGAAATTCTTCCCTCCACTACTCATCTCTAGAGAGAGTGCCTACATACAGCTCGAATCTCAAGCGCCTAATAAGTTTGTACCAACTACTCTTATGTTACTTAATAGCACACAAAAATAAGTCCATCCTAAGTTACAATAATCAGCAATCACAGAAAAGAGAAATAAAACTCAAACTCCAAAAGCAAATCAGCGTACAATAATCTAATCACCAGCATTATCATCAAGCAATTGGCGTACAATAATTTAATCAACTACATTATCATTCACACTAAAGAAAACAGACCCATATCACATAAACTTAATACAAAGTAAATCAAATTATACCTGTTCGAATTGCGAAACGGAGCCCTCCACCACTAGTGACGAAACGGAGCCCTCCATCGCTACTGATGAAACGGAGCCCTCCACCGCTACTGACGAAACGGAGCTGTGAATCGGCACCTGGAAAGGCGCATAATTCCCAGCAGCAGCAGCAACTTCCACGGGAGCTTTCATCTCAGGCGTGGTGGTGAAGTAGTCCGACGCCATTATCTTGTTCAGCCTCTCTCTCAAGCCCGAGTCTACGCAAAAGCACAAACACTTAGAACACAAAGTAACACCCATTTCGATATACCACAAAATAATAACAATGACAATGATAAAATATAATAAATAGAGCACAGAGTCAAAATATTTTACAAGTGCTATTAGCATTAGGCTCAATGAGCTGGTCGGAGTTGGCGAGCCAAAGCTTGGCGTGCTCCAAGCACCTCTGCAAGGCGTTCTTGTGGGACAAACTCGAATCCACCGGCCGCGAAATCAACAACCCTCCCAACTTGGAGATCAAATCCAAGTCCCTCTCGCCGAGCAGATCGGTGGCGTCATCGGTGACGTAATCGTAGGTCAGGCAACACCCTCGCTCGTGAGTCCTCGTGAGCATCGTCGACGTGAAGTCGCTCTGCGGCTTGACGTCGAACAGCGACCCAAAGTAGAGCAGATTCAGGAGGTCCTCGACCTCTGCCTCGCGGCGATCGGGCTCCGGCACAGCCGTCTCAGGCTCGTCGGGCTTCTCCTGGCGATCGGCGTCGGAGAGGGAGGAGACCTGGTGGAGCTGCACAGCAAGGCTGACCTCCTCGGCGACGGCGTCGGCGATAGGCTGTCGGAGCTTCTCGAGCTCGTCGATGAGAGCGGAGACACCGGGCTTGGAGCGGAGGACCTCCTCTTGCTCCCTGTTGATCGGCTTGCCCTGAGAGATCGCCTCCTCCATTTGCGTGATGCGGTTGAGCTTCTTGCGCAGGGCTCGGAGGCGCTTGTTGATGAGGCTGAGGACGGGTCCGTCTGAGACTTCCGTGGCCGCCATTTCCGTCGTCCGAAGAGGTTTCTTAGGGTTTCGCGTCGATCGGCGGAGCACCACCAGTAGGCGGTGGTGGCGAGGGGTAAGGGTTTTGTGCCGACGGGGGCTTTCTGAGGAGAGAGAGAGAGAGAGAGTGAGAGGAAACAGTAGAGAGAGAAAGATATAGAGGGATTTGGGTGTTTGTAAGAAGGGAGCGTAAGAGAGTGAAGAGGCAGGGAGAAGCGAGAGACTCTAGGGGTCGGACTTTCAGATTTTATAAATGGCAATTCGGAAAAGCACGCCCAGAGTTTTATTGAATATCACATTTACCGCCTGACTTCTTATAATTTAAAAATTATCCCTGTACTTTTTCAAAGGAGTTCTTCTGACCACTTTGGTTGTTAAAATACCAAAAGTTGCCCTCAATATTCAGCGTTGAAATTTGAAATATTATCTCCAGTGTTAATAAACCAAAATATATTAAATAAATAGGTTTTAAAAATCCAAAACTTAAAAAGAATATACAAAAGAACTCTCCATCTATCTCTAAAGTCTAAGTAGCACCTTATTCGTGTCTCTATCCTATGCAGGATCTCAAGTGGATGGGAGGAAGGAGTTGTGCTTCGTATCGCATGTGGCATGAAAGGAGATTAAGGGGTTATTTGGTTAGAAGATTTATACCCCGATTCGAATCATGATTCATGATTTGTTATAGTGTTTTCTCTCACAAAAAATACACATAAATCAAAAATAATTTTAATATCATGATTCTAATTCATGAACTAAACGTCTCCTAAATCCCATTAATAAGGAGGAGGGATGGACAGGCCATATTGCTAGTTGGTGGGGAAATTTTAGGTCGGCCTTCTCAAAGTGGCATGCCTGACACAAAGAGGGGAATGGAATGCTTTACGAGTTTGTAAGTGATGAGGTTTATTTAATTTTTTGAAATAAAGTATGTTTATTGAACGCTTAAATACATTTTAAAATTTTTTAAATATAATTCTTAAATGCAGATTATTGAAGACATTTTTGGAATTTTGGACAATTTAACCATTTAAAGGGTTGTTTTAAAATAGCAAGGGAATACTTTTTGAATTTCAAACAATCAATGGACAAATATGGTATTCCGATAAATACAGTGGATTCCCTTTGGCTTTCTCAATTGTTAGGATACAAAGTATAAACTGCGCTGATTTGTGAAGTCCAAGAGATCAAACTTAAAGGCCCGTTTAGTTCGCTGATTTAAGTTTTTAATTCGAGTTGAGACGTGACTTTATATGAGAGCTTTTTACTGTAGCAAAAAAGTTAGATGTGACTATTTTTGAGAGCTTTTTACTGTAACAAAACTTGAATTATAAACTCGAATTTGTGAAATGAAAGGGGCCTAAGTCATCCTATTAGCCGAACAAAAAAATAAAAAAATAAAAATAAAAATCTCTAACCATACATATTAATTCCTCTTATTATTGAGAAGACGATTAAACATAAGATTAATAAAAAGGAAAAGGAAAATGGTTCAAGAAACCTGCTTCAATATTTAATCCAAAAATGCTTCAAATATGCATAAGAGATTTTTTTTTATAATGGTAAAACATATTTCTTTTCTGCTTCCAAATAAAATAGTTTTTTCTTTTTCAAAAATTATTGAACTTACCTTTAAAAGTACATGAGTCTAAACTTTTATCTCTTAATCTTAATTAATATTCTTTTGACTAATATAATTCTTTAAATAAAGGATATTAATCATTAATAGGGGTAAAAATTTGTGACTCATATAGATATTTGTCTCATTTTCTCATAGTTATCTAATTTTGTCAATAGGATATGCAATAGATGGTAGATGGGGGATGGCCCGTGTCGTATTTTGAGGTAGGGTAATTTTGATAAATACCCCTTAAAATGGTACCATTAAAGATTTTTAGGGTCTCAACATTGACCCATTGAATTTTGCCCATTTGGAATAAGTAATTTAACAGATTATTATCGATAATTTGACAGATGTCGCCGGCGGCGGATTTTCAGTCGCCGGTGGCGGATTTTCAGTCGCTGGTGGCGAGTGTAATTAAAATGATTATTGTTTTAAATTTGACAAATTATTATCTATAATTTAACAAATTATTATTAAAAAGGTAATCTATCACAACAAAAAGATAGAACTCCAGAATAATGTGTTTAAGGGTCAGTTTTTGTAATTTTCTCTTTGAGGTACCGTTTCTAGTGGGAGTGGGACAAGATGTAATTCCTTGAATATTATTGGCGGCCTCTCCTCTTCCAATCCGTTTTGATCATCTTCTTTTTTTTTTTTTTTTTTTTTTGGCAAACAATCACATTTTTGTTAAGCTAAATGTTGTGCAAAAAAGAAAAGAAAGAACGAAATGTAAGGTTTTGGTCAGTGGAATTCGGTATTATGGTCGATTCATCAGTGTTTTAAGATGCACGAATCAGTCTAATTCTTTTTAAGCAAGCAAAAAAGCGCAATCTTCTCTTTTCTTTTTGGTAAAATAGAAAGGGATATGATATTGAGACCACCACGTTTGAGGAAAAAGAACATGATTAAGTTAATAATTTCTTTTTCCTTACAAAAAAAGAAAAAGTTAATAATTTTCTTTTACCTGAAGAGTCATGTAAAAGGAGTAATTTTCCGGATATTATTGTCAGAGAAAATGAAGTTGGTCAATGATTAGATTTTAAACTTAAAAAGAAAAAAAGGAAGCTAGATTAGTCACCCTAGATACTTTCCTCTGTGGCCAAGACACAAAAGGTGAGGCAAAGGCCCTAACTTTATGGTCAAAAGGTGTGCAAATAAGAAATATTGCATTATTTTCTCCATAAAAAAAAAAAGAATTTTAGTTCCTATACTAAAAAGGCATTTAGGCTATTAATTGTTGTATGCATGCTCAATTTTAAACCCCGTTCATTTCACCGATTCAAATTTAAAATTTAAATTTTATTACAATAAAAAACTCTCAGAAATAATCACATTTAACTTTTTTATTACAATAAAAAACTCACATAAAATCACATCTCAACTCGAATCAACAAACTAAACAGACCCTTAATTAGAACATAATAATTTACTTGAAGTGAAAACAAAGACTTGGAAAAGCGGCTAATCAAATAAGGCTAATCTATTCGCACATATTTTACTCTGATCTAAACAGTGAAAGACCAGGCTATGGGAGCACCTTTTTATGGGTCTTTCAGTATGAAAAGATGAAAAATATAGAATAAAAGCAAAGTTCCATATCGGATCAAATCAGATCAGAGAATTTTGAGCATAAATATATTACTGCTTCATGGATTAATAGAATCAGTTGTCAAAAACCTATCTCCCATGAATCTTCCACGCTTCATAAGCATAATGCTAATAAATTGAAGCCTAAAAGAGCATTTAAGTCCTACAGACTATATAAGCCTGGTACAACAAAATTGGGTTGGGGCATTTTCTTCGCTGAAGCTGATGTGTACCTACAGCTCTATTGCCAATGAATATGGCGTGCAGATCAAAATCCCATTCCCACCCGGCTTCAATGAAGATCAGCATGATAAATGTGAATTTTACGATTCTACTTCTTCGGCAAACATGGCTTTTCCTGAATAAACATACTGCATCTCCTCCTTCCAAGTCTGCAAAACCACTAGATAATTACCTGCAAAAGAAAAATCAACACTCTTCTTCCCGAGTCAACCAGGAAACAAAAATCACTCACCTCATGTCGGAAGGCAATCCTTAAACCTGGTACATTTGTCTTATGGATATCATTACCTTCGGGGCCTCGCAAGAAATACTTACTACCAAGCCAATGCATCTGCAAGAAGAAGGGAGCACCAACAACGATAAGATAAAGTGTTTACATCAACAAAAGCATACTTCATTCCCAGGATTTATGTTATAAAGGAAAGGAACAGGCAAAGATAGTTGTTAAACACTCCCTTTCCAAACAAACTAGATTAATATCCAAAACCAAATTTGTAGTGGAAAAAAAAAATCGATATCATGTGTCTGCATACTTAAGCCTCATTGCCTCAAAACTAAAGAGTGAATCTATGTGCACCAAAATTGCCAATTCATATCCTGAACTTGATTTCTTGTTGGAGGGTGTAAGCCCCAGAAGGACTGGTCGGTGCTCAAATTCTCATATTTCCTTGCGTTACTCATAGAATTGGCTAGAACTATCTCAGCATAGCTACGGGCCAGGCTCAGCAAGTTATACGCGTGATCTATTTATCTCAAACTTAAAAAGTTTATATTCTTAGTTTTTACCTTGGCCGCACGTGAAAATCCAGATTGATAAACAGAATTCCTTGCTATTTCACAAAGGTCACATGCACTGAGCTTCCACACCTGTGTCGAGCAGATTAATCAGATGGATCATACAATACAAAGCCATCAAGTATCAAAATTGAGGGAATTGTACCTTTGCTGCAACACTATATTCTTCCACCAGTGCCTCTTTAGTTAAATGAATTTGCAAAGGATCATCACTAGAGAGGGAGACATTCAGACCACGTTGGAAGAACATGGGAAATGGGTTGCGATGGTAGTCCAAGAAAAGGGAATTGTTGCTCAAAGGTGACATGGACAATCCGACCTGGATAGACGAGAAAGTGCAAGTGAGTTTCATATGAATTAAGCAGAAGCTGGGCAAGGTTTAATGAGAAAAGTAAGAAAATATCAATATTAAATACAATGATGCTAGACACTTAACAATAACATCGTGTAAGCACTAAAATATTTGAGTGAAATAACATCACGAGAGTAGAGTTCAACCTGAGCCAGGTAATAGAGATACTGCAAAACAGGAGATTTTCGAAGATTAATCCCATGAGAAATATTGTGGCATAGAAGGAATCCAGCAGCCAAATGGTCGATATCACCCGCCTGTGTAGACAATGCAAACGAATCTCAATAACCCTACAATAAGAATCAAAAGCTAAAGCATGGGTTGTGGAAAACTACCTCCCCACAGTGAGGCCGGAATTTTATTGTTGTCATTCCTTTAGATTCACGAAGCTGAACGAAGAAAATGAGCGCAAAGTTAGTAAACATATATTTTATTCTAGTTTTTCAAATGAAGAGCGTCATGGTGATTAACGTAGTACAACAAGACACTACGTAGTAAACAATAAAAGAGTTGAATTTTATGTCCATCACAGTCGTGTTACAGACCTTGTTAAGAGTGTACAAATTTGCATAGCAATAATAAGCATAATAAGAATATGCAGGGTTAAAATCATTGGTCCATTCAGCTGGCGTTGGCATGTGTTTAGTCGGATGCCTTTCCGGTTTACTCTCATCATCGACAATATCAAAACCCACCACCTGCATATTTACAGATAACCTCAGTAGTAATACATAAATGTTTGATAGCATGTGTAACATGATCGTCTTTTCTATACTTTCATCATCCCATATATGAATTTCGATTGTACAACAACAAAAGACCAAATCATATATCAACATGCAAAGGATGATAGCTTAGGATGGTAAAACTTTTGAGATAAGCTGACTAACCTGCTTCAGGAACACATGTAACTGAGGATGAGAATTTGGATCAATTGTGACTTCGAAGAGAGGAATAAACACATTATCCAAAATATTCTGGAAAGAGGTAACAATTCCCATATTCTTGTAGACATTGTATAGCCGTGGTAGCTGCAAATGATGTTAGAATAAAAACCATTAAAACAGTTACAGGGAAAGTGCATGCAGAAACACACCATGAAAAACACCAAATCAAGTATTATGCAAGTTGATAAATGAGGGACAAGAAGAGCACAACAATAAGATAAGAAGACCAAAAAGGCTCCTTGGACAGAGATGATTGATATGGTGTGCATTTACACGGTTCTCGGTCCAGAATTTTCATCTAACAAACACATACCTCAGACATCTGTGCTCTCTCTCCTTACTAGTTTGTCTCAACTCATAACTAAGTCATAGATAAATAGATACACTCCTCCCTCTTGGGAATTAATTTGGACATTCATCACCCATCAGTTAAGAACATTGATCATTTAACTGTAACCAAAATCCATATTTAAGATCAAGATCGTATTGGAAAGTTGAAAAGTCACTCACTCTAATTTAATTCCAACTATCGGTACCAAAAATATAATAATAATAAAAAACACGACAAAAAAATAAAAATTAAAAAAAAAGAGAAAAGAAGAAAAGCATACATGTATTGAATGAACCATGTTGCAATAATAGTATCAAATAATAGTAACAAAAAAAAAGGCCATGTGTAATCATGCTTTCTAATTCCAATGAACAGATAGAATGATAAGCATAAGGTTCCAAAATGCAAGAGAGTAACTATCAAATAATGCTTAGCATAGGAAGGGGAGAAACAGAAATAAAAAAGAAAGAAAGAGGACATCACAAGGTACCTGGATCAACCATACAGCATTATCACTATAGATAGCATTGTTGACAAACCAGCTGGCCAATTGATCCCATTCACTTTGTTTTCTTCCATATACTGAAATCCTGTACTCTGCCATCTGAAAAAGATAGACTTGGATAAGCCTACAAGTAACTTTCTGAACTCTGACAATCGACAATGTACCAATGTAATTTAGGCATAATTCATTAATAATTAACATCAGGATTTGCACAGAGAGAGGGGAATAGAAGAGAATGTATTGCATATTTGAATTGTCTAACATGATATTTATGATAAGGTATTCAAAACAAATAACCTGGCATTTGCTGGCTTCTAAATCCGATAGAACTTCTTTTGTCACTTCTGCCAAAAACCGTCCTGTAAACGAAAGCAGATTTGAAAGAGATGATCTGCTATATTTTATTCAATGTGGCGGAAATACATTTAAATAGGCAGCAAAAATAACAGAGTAAAGAAAATCTCCCTAATAACGTGGCTGATTTGCTGTAACAATCAAATCAGATTTTATTGACTAAAACCTAATCCTAAACGAACGGATAACCGATAAGGAAGATTTGAATATTTCAAATTAATTCAAAATCTTCTAGATTGATTTATTCCAGTAGAATCCGATCAAATCAATTTGATTTGATCTGCCGACAGTAAATTCACATGAACAATCAAATTGTGGGAGAAAAAATAAAACATCCATGAAAAAGAGCAAGGATACGGAAAAGAGAACACCATTAAATCTAATTCCTAACTGTTCCCATACACTAAATCTGAAGGTAACAAATGATTAGTTTGATCTCAGTTTTCATTTTTCGTTTATGCAGGTATTGAAATCTTTTGCCGTCTCTCTGCAATGCCATACCTTGGATGAGATTGTCCTGCTTCAAGAATATCTCTCTGAGTCTGCTCTGACCACATGGATTATACTTGAGATTGAATTTGTCAAATCGATGAAAAGTGCTTTTATCAGCATGCACATCCAGTAAATCAACATTCAAATCATACCTACAATGTAATAAACACCACGTCATGGAGAGGGAGTTTGATTCTAATAAATTTCAATCAAATGGAGCATTAAAGTAACGCATACCCTGTCAAGTCCAAACTCTCAAAGACTTCCTTAAGTGTAAGATACTTTCCATCTCTGAATATAACAACCTGTTCAAAGGAATTAGAATAGTCATCAAGAAATAGAAACAAAAAGGAAGTAAAAGATATGCAACACCAAAATAAAAAATAAAAAATGGACTCGCTTTAATTTAAGACATTCAGTTAAAACTAGAGTCTGCAGCACCTCACTGCAATAAACATAGAAAAAGAGAGGGGGGGAAGGAAAAGGAAAACTACCTCGTCAGGTTCTTTTCTCAGCTTAGACTTGATAAATCGTAGAAGATGCTTCTGATTCATGCAAGCAGAATGATGGATATGTGTATCGACTTTTCTAATATTGTAAAAATCACGGTGTGGTGCGCTCTTCTGAGCTAGAAACTCCTTATCAGCATTTAGTAGCAGGTGAAGGCGGAATTTCTGTATGATGTTCAATAAGAGTCACAAACACATACCAAATGAATAACAAAAAGATATCAAGTTCAAGACACATTAAGAGAACAATACCTCCTCAAGAAATCGCAGTCTGTGATAACAAGTGGTGCGGATATTTCCAATAGACATAACCTTTAAAATATGATGCATATCAGTGAAAAATGTAGTTGAACTTGCAACAGGGAAAATTTCTTCATTGTCTGCAGAAAGAAGTTAAAACGAGTTAGATCTCTAATTCAACTAACTCAAAATTAAACAGAGAATAAAGAAACCAATGACCAAGTATTATATAAGGACAATCGTTTTTTACAAAATTAAAACAACTTATAAGTGCTAACCATTTCCCTTTGCATATACATGTCCTACACCATCTTCCATCCTAAAAAAGTGCTGAATGATTAAGAAACAACAATATCAGACAAATGCTAAGCAAATCAATGAATAACTAAACTCGTGAACTGAAAGCTCACTTATATTTTACATGCAGCAACAAAAAGAAAGAAGTAAGAGACAGATTACGCATGAAGAAAACAGCGACTTACAGCTGACGCCTCAACAGGTTCGAAATGAAATGGATCACTCTTCTCTGGTGCAGTAGAGTTTGTTACATCTACCTTCATTGATGGACAAACCTCTTCCCGGTAGACATATCTTTGACGCAAATCCAAACATTCACAAAGCATCTTACGAACTTCTTCCTCTTCTTTGTTCGTTGAATCTGAAGCCACATGGTTTGGCAAGAAGGAAAGGATAAATTAGTTAATAATCGTCTGCATAGTTGGTTATATATCGTTATTTATGTTCATATCCTCTAACATACAGCTTATTTGTTAAAGAAGCATACTTAGGTGGGTTGAACATGTGAATGTCTTAGTTATGTCATCTTCTCCCCACCCCCATCCCCACTCCACACTTCCAACACTGGACTTAAATTAAATAGTGAAGTAAAGGTATGTCCTACACTCATACTACTTTGCTATTGGTAAGTGATATAAAGGTCCTTGAAAATATTTTAAGATAGGGAGTTAAAATACCATGAGCTGATGAACACACAGGTAAAATCATGCTGCCAAGAGTAGGATCATGGACATCCAAGTGCCCTGCAGCTGAAACTACGTTTCCCTCACCCTGCAGATCAGTGCCAGCTTTTGACTCGTTTGCAGTCACTTTAAATATTTGATCTTGCACACAGTTCCCATCATTACCTATGAGTGGAACTGCAGAAGAATTCTGAAGGGTTGAATTAAATTCCTGCAAATCCATCAACTAGTAAAACGGACTGATCCTAGCTTCCACATTGTCATTCTCTCAACAAAACATATAAATTTTGATCGTATAGGTAGTGAGGCCAAGTCGGACGCTTATGTGATAGTGCCACCAGTTGCCTTTTGGCAATCAGAATTCAGAAGTTTGCTCTTTCAAATATTTTAGCAAAAAACTATCCAGACCAGAAAATAATCAAAGATACAAAGCTTTTTCATTACTTGCATTATAGTGACCCATACGTGCAATGTTTGAAATCAATACAAAGCTTTTTCATTACTTGCATTATAGTGACCCATACGTGCAATGTTTGAAATGATTACAGTAAGATAATAAGCTAAGATAGTCTACTCCAATTGCGTATGTCACTGATAAGCCTCCAATACGTTTTAAGTATGCAAGGAGTGCCAACCGCGTGGACTAAGCTGCAGAGTGGGCGTAATCTGTGACGTGGGGGAGTTTATTAGCATAATTACCAATTTAGTGTCTTAGTACTTGTTAGTACCTGAGGTCATGTGTTGAGGGTGCAGGTGTCCTATTCTTGTTATGTGTAATAAAAGAGGGGAGTGTGTGGTGGTGTGGTTTAGGCTGTTTTTGGGTTGGTGTTGATCTCGGGGAGAGAAGTTGAACCTCTCGAAAGTCCAGCAGCTTGTATCGGTGCTTGGAAGATTTCCAGTATCAATACAATATCCATTACTACTCAATTTCTTTTCTCTTTCTCTGCATTTACTATTTTCCTAGTTGGCTCTTATCATTTTTGGTATCAGAGCACTTGCGGCCTAGGAAATGGTGAACAAGAGAGGCTGGTTTTGGGGAAACTCAAGGTGAGGCGGTGGAAACGCGGATTGGGGTGGTAGAGTCGAAGATCGAGCATAAGCACAAAGACATGCAGCGGTTGACGGTGGTGGAGCGTATTCTGGAGACAATGGTGGAGCGTAGTCTGGAGACGGTGCTGGAGAAAATCTCAGCTCTGGACCGCGTCAAAAGGGCTCTCCAAAAGATGGAGGAGTCAGTGCGGGAAGATCACCCACGCTGGCAAGGAAGAGGGACAAGGATTCTGGTATGCTTCAGGATCTGACGCAGATCAGAGGTCAGAAGGGCAAGGGGGTGGAATTCCGTTCAGATCTGGGACCGACGCAGCTGAAATCAGGAGTGTCAGCAATCGCGCCGCCTCAGTGGACGACGTCAGCGGTGTTAGGAGGTGGTGGGTCTGGGGAAGGATCGAGAGGGTCTCGCGAGGTGGTGGGTAAACCGAAGGGTCTGGGCCATCGTTTGGAGGTGCCAGTGTTCATCAAGGAGACTCTGGAGGGCTAGGTCTACCGGGTTGAGCACTATTTTGCTCTCAACCGATTTACGGAGTCCAAAAAACTGTCGGCGGCAGCATTAAGTATGGACATGGAGGCGCTTGCTTGGTACCAATGGGAGGAAGGTAGGCGGCTCATGAGGAGCTGGTCTAAGCTCAAAAACCAATTTGTTGGACCGATTTCAGCTTACTCAAGAAGGTTCAAGCTGTGAAAAGTTTTTGGCTCCACGTCAGGAGGGGACTGTCAGGGACTATCGGTGGATGTTCAAGATTTTGGCAACTCTTTTGGTCAATGTGTCAGAGCATGTGATGGAGAGTACTTTCATCAATGGGCTTAAGCCGAAAGTGCGTGCGGAAGCTCGGATGATGCGACCCTGTGGGTTGGCGAAGATCATGGAGCTGGCTCAACGGGTGGAGGACCAGAATTCGCTACTACAGCCGAGCAGATTTGAAGGAAGTTCGAGTGTGACGCGGATTCCGCCAGTGAGCTACAGCCCAATCCCATTTACACAACTCCCTTCAATCCCAAGAACAAACTCGAATATGGTAATGCCCGTGGGGCAGAAACCAACCCTTCCTTTTAAGCGTTTGTCTGATTCTGAGCTTCAAAAGAAGAAAGAGAAGAAACTCTGTTTTCCTTGTGATGAAAAATATACTATTGGACATAGATGCAAAAATAAGGAGGTACATGTCTTGATAGTTCATGATGAGAGGAAATGCCGAGAGAAATGGAGGACAAGGGGGAGGACGGAACACCCACATAACCGGTCATTGAGGAAATGGTGAATTATCCATCAATTCGGTAGTGGGCTTGTCAAATCCGAAGACGATGAAGGTGAAAGGAAGAATTGCTCACCATTGCAGGGCATCCCATAACTTTATCTCGATCAACTTAGTGGAGAAGCTGGCTATACCTAGAGTGGATACTAGTGGTTACGGGTTCTAATGGGTATTGGTGTAATGGTGCAAGGGGCTAGCCTTTGTAAGGGTGCGGTTCTAACCTTACAAAATATTGAGATAATGGAAAATTTTCTTCCGCTCGAATTGGGGAGCGCGGATGTTATACTTGGGATGAAATAGCTTAAGACCCTTGGGGGAATGCAAGTCAATTGGAAGTCCTTGACTATGAGGTTCGAAGTTGGAGGGGTGGTGGTGACTTTACAAGGCAACCCAAGCCTATGCAATTCCTCGATCACTTAAGGCACTTATGAAGGCGATGCGCGAGGAAGGATCAGATGTTATTGGAATTGGGTAATATGGAGTTGGCTGATGCAGCGAAATCGAAGCTCGTTCCCACGCTGCTTGAAGGGCTATTACAGCAGTATGGGAAGGTATTTGAATGGCCTAATGAATTACCGCCCCATCGTGGTCGAGATCCGGCCTTACCGGTATCCGTAAATTCAGAAGGAGGAGGTCGAGCAAATTCAAAAGGAGAAAGCCGAACAAATTCAAAAGGAGAAGATCGAGAAGTTGGTTGGGGAGATGATGGCAGCGGGTATCATCCAATTGAGCATTAGCCCGTTTTCGAGCCCGGTCTTACTTGTGAGAAAGAAGGATGGGAGCTTGCGTTTTTGTGTCGATTATCTAGCCTTGAACAAACAGTGCCCGATAAATCCCCCATTGCGGTTGTAGATGAGTTGTTAGATGAATTACAAGGCGCACACATTTTTTCCAAACTAAACTTGAAGTCTAGATATCACCAAATCCGGGTAAGGGGATGTTCCCAAAACCGCATTCCGCACCCACGAAGGGCACTATGAGTTCCTAGTAATGTCCTTCGGCTTGACCAACGCCCCGTCGACTTTTCTAGCCCTCATGAACGACATCTTCTGTGAGTGCTTGCACAAGTTCGTTCTTGTGTTTTTTGATGGCATCTTGGTGTACAGTCGTTCCATAGAAGAGCATAAGGATCCTTTGGCCAGGGTACTGGAGATCTTAGCCACTCACTAGCTCTATGCAAATAAGACAAAATGCCAATTCGGGTGAGGGCAAATTGAATATCTCGACCACATAATCTTGAGTGACGGAGTCATGGCGGACGAATCCGGGAATTGCGGAGTTTCCTCAGTGCACGGGGTATTACCGCCGTTTCGTCAGGGTATGGGGAGTTGGCTTGGCCGTTAACAAAGCAGCTCAAGAAAGATAACTTCAACTGGAATGAAGAGGCAGGGGTTTTTCAATAAACTCAAAGCGGCCATGACTAGTGTTCCGATTTTGGCACTGCCAAATTTCTCACAGCCTTTTGTGTTGGAAACTGATGTGTTGAGACAGATTGGGAGCTGTGCTTATGCAAAATCAACGTCCAATTGCCTATTTCAACCATGTTCTTTCCTCTCGAGCGCAATTGAAGTTAGTCTATGAGAGGGAGCTCATGGCTATTGTATTGGCGGTCCAAAAGTGGCGTCACTATCTCTTGGGACATAGGTTTGTGCTACGCACGGACCAGCGCAGCTTGAAGTTCCTTTTAGAACAGCGGATGGTGAGTGTCGATCATCAAAAGTGGTTGGTCAAACTCATGGGTTTCGACTTTGACATCCAGTATAAGCCAGGATTAGAAAACAAAGCGGCTAATGCTTTGTCTCGGGTGGGATCTATGGCAACTTTAATGGCTATAACAGTGCCACATGTAGTGACTTTGGAAGAGGTTGAGGCGCAGGTGATGGAAGATGACAAGTTGCAGGCTATCATACAAGATTTGCAACGCAATCCAACAGCTTGGCCAGGTAACTCGTTGGTGCAAGGCCAGTTACTATACAAGAACCGCCTTGTTTTGCCGAGCACCTCACCGTTGATTGGCGTGCTGTTGCGTGAATTTCATGATAGCAGCATTGGAAGGCATTCGGGTGTGTTGAAGACCTTTAGACGCATTGCAGTGTCAGTGTATTGGGCAGGAATGAAGGGCAACATCCAACGCTATGTTGCTAATTGTGTTGTGTGCCAGCAGTACAAGCCTTCCACTTTGGCTCCCGGGGGTTTGCTGCAACCCTTGCCAATTCCGGATTTGGTGTGGGACGACATCTCTATGGACTTCATTGAGTCGCTTCCCAAATCCGAAGGACTTGACACCATCTTGATGGTCGTAGATAGGTTGAGCAAATATGCACATTTCATTTGTCTCCAACACCCATATACCGCTCCGATGGTGGTTACCGCTTTCGTTCGTGAGGTGGTTCGCCTTCACAGTGTTCCGAGATCGATAATATCGAACCGCGACAAGGTTTTCATAAGCAATTTTTGAAATGAGCTGTTCAAATTGCAGGGCACTGTTTTTAAGCGTAGCACTGCTTATCACCCGCGAACCGATGAGCAAACAGAGGTTGTGAACAGGTGTCTGGAAACGTATTTGCGTTGTTTGGCGACGGATACACCCAGGCCCGATGGTTGCCATGGGCCGAATGTTGTTACAATACGACTTATCATACCGCTGCGGGAATGGCCCCATTTCATGTGGTCTATTGCCGGACCCTCCCACACTACTGCCTTTTCTACGGGGCTCCACTCCTCGGCGGTTGAGCAGCAACTTAGTGGTTGTTTGGTATAAGGATTTTGAACCCGGAATCATGATTCTGGATTCAAACCAGTATTTGTTTACAAAAAGTAAAAAATGATTCTGATTCGACTCACCTAGAATCAATATTTAGTTTGGATGGTTCTGATTCAAGATTTGAACCCTAATGTGATGTTTTAAACCATAAATCACCCTTAATTCTAAGACCTCATTCACTTCGCGGATTTGAGTTTTCAATTCGAGTTGAAATATAACATTTTTCTGAGAATTTTTTACTGTAGCAGAAAAAGTTAGATATGACATTTTCTGAGAGCTTTTTACTGTAGAAACTTAAAACTAAAAACTCAAATCGGTGAAATGAACGAGGCCTAAAATCACCCACCTCCTTGATTTTGGGTGGTTCAAACTCATGATTCTAATTCTGGTTTCAGAATCATGATTTGGACCCGAAATCATGAATCATGGTTATGGTTCCAAAATTAAAACTAAAATCATCCTGATTTGAACCCTCATACCAAACAAACCTTTAAAGGCTGGGATGAGATGCTAGCGGAACTGAAGCAGCACTTTGGCGCGTTCCCAACAACGTATGAAGGCTCAAGCAAATGGGCATTGGCGTGACATTCCCTTTAAGGTCGGTGACTCAGTCTTTCTGAAACTACGCCCCTACCGCCACAAAACTCTGGCTTCCCGTCCGTTTGAAAAGCTTGCGCCCCGTTTCTATGGCCTTTACATCTTCGTTTGAACACATTTATCTTCATTTTTATGAAGTTATTGAGAAGTTTCTAAACTTAACGATAGCATCATTAGCATAAATAAGATTGCGGAAATACACATACACGTACATTTATGCTATTAAATGAAGCATCTACATTTGAACCGTCAAAAAATTCATCAGCTTCATTCGCAAGTTCTGTTCCTTCCTCATCAGAATCTCCTGCAACGTCGAAATTATTGCCAGCTTGGGATCTTGGGGTCAGCGTCACCAACCTATCAGCCGATCCCACCCTTCTACGGAGGTCCCCTCCTGCAAAAATAAATAAATAAATAAAAATCCAAAAGAAATGAAAGGAAGAAAATCAAAACAGAAACCCTTTTGAGTTATTCAATCAAAATTGAAGCTATAAACTAAATCAATTAAAAAATAACTCAATATTCTAATGATAATATCACCACTGAAATCGTTCAATGAGAAAACAATAGATACGCATATCATCTGCAATAAAACTGAAAATAAGTCAGATTATGCAGAAATTAGAGCATATACCATGTCCTTTTGAGTTATTCAATCAAAATTGAAGCTATAAACTAAATCAATTAAAAAATAACCCAATATTCTAATGATAATATCACCACTGAAATCGTTCAATGAGAAAACAATAGATACGCATATCATCTGCAATAAAACTGAAAATAAATCAGATTATGCCGAAATTAGAGCATATACCATGTCCTTTTGAGTTATTCAATCAAAATTGAAGCTATAAACTAAATCAATTAAAAAATAACCCAATATTCTAATGATAATATCACCACTGAAATCGTTCAATGAGAAAACAATAGATACGCATATCATCTGCAATAAAACTGAAAATAAATCAGATTATGCCGAAATTAGAGCATATACCATGTCCTTTTGAGTTATTCAATCAAAATTGAAGCTATAAACTAAATCAATTAAAAAATAACCCAATATTCTAATGATAATATCACCACTGAAATCGTTCAATGAGAAAACAATAGATACGCATATCATCTGCAATAAAACTGAAAATAAATCAGATTATGCCGAAATTAGAGCATATACCATGTCCTTTTGAGTTATTCAATCAAAATTGAAGCTATAAACTAAATCAATTAAAAAATAACCCAATATTCTAATGATAATATCACCACTGAAATCGTTCAATGAGAAAACAATAGATACGCATATCATCTGCAATAAAACTGAAAATAAATCAGATTATGCAGAAATTAGAGCATATACCATGTCTTTGATCAGTTCGAAGAGGGGGAAGTCCCAAAGGAATGTAATTAACCCTATCCAACGCAGAAGAAAATCCTTGAGCCCTAAAATTCGATCCCCTATCAAAGTTAGAACCTTCCCGAACCCAATCGTGGTTTCCCAAAGCCACATTGGGCAAAGACGACGACATTCTACGGCTCCGAAGGAACGTCTCGTCGACGGACCTCGAAAAGCCCCTTCCCCCAATCTTCCGATCGGCGAGCGTATCGCCGTCGGAGCCAAACTCTGCCTCGTCGTCTATCTCTCCAACTTCCTCCTCTTCCTCTTCTTCCTCATCGTCTGTCCGTTCGATAGAAGACCTTTTCCCGCCATCTCTGCGGAGCTCCGTGAGGCGGTTGAGGACCTGGTCGACGCTCCGCTTGTGGATGTAAAAGGCCGAAACAGCCATGATCGATGCTCCGACTAGAGCCGCCATGGCCATGTGCAGAGACGAGGTCGCCGAAGATTGCGACTCCATTGAAATCGGAAAGAGAGAGAAAGAAAGAAACCCTAGGTTTGGGGTTAGTGTTGTTTTGTGACTGCTCCTAGTCGTGTCAACTCACTCCATCGATTCTAAAACCACTTTTGCTCCGGAATAGCGAGCGAGAGAGAGACAGAGAGTGAGCTATAGGGCAGGTGTTGATCTTTGTGTGGTACCATTCTCAGAAACAATAGAAAAAAAAAAAAAAAAAGATATTTGTATGGGACCCACATGATTGAAACACGTGTCCCGCCCGTACGCTTATGATAGGGGAAACGCGGCAATCCCCGCGTTTCGCGATAAAAAGAGACAACTGTGCATTCGTACTCTTTGTGATAGGGAAAAGTGTCACTAGAACGAAACCAGGGAATCGAATTTTAAAAATGAGCAACCTATACATTCAGGCCTCATTCATTTTACCGATTTAAATTTTTAATTCTAAGTTTTTACAGTAAAAAATTTTCAAAAAATGTCACATTTAACTTTTTTATTACAGTAAAAAGTTCTCAAAAAATGTCACATTTCAGCTCAAATTAAAAACTCGAATCCGCGAAGTTAACGAGGCCTTACGATTCGTTTAGTTTATTAATTCGAGTTTTTAATTTAAATTTAAATGTGATTTTATGTGAAAAATTTTTATTGTAATAAAAAAATTAAATATGACTATTTCTAAGAGTTTTTTACTGTAATAAAACTCGAATCGATGAAATGAACAATGCCTTAATTAGAATGTGGGAAACCACTCCATTATTATAAAACAACACTTAAAAAATAAGAAAAATTAGGGGTGGCAATTCGTGTCACGTGTCGTGTTTTGATCGTTTCTTTTTAAATTTACAGTCAACCCGAACACGACACGTGACACGAAATTTTTTAAAAATCGCAACTCGAGCACGACACGACCCGAAAATGACCCGTGACACGAAATTGACCCATGAACCCGAAATTAACACGAAAATTGTATACTTGTAGGGTCCGTTCAGTTCGCTAATTCAAGCTTTTAATTCGGGTTGAGATGTGATGTTGTGTGAGAGCTTTTTACTGTAGTAAAAAAGTTAGATGTGACTGTTTCTGAGAGCTTTTTACTGTAGCAAAACTCGAATTCTAAACTCGAATCAGCGAAATAAACGGGGCCTTATTTAGTTTTTTACATATTAAAAATAACTTAAAATTCATAACACACTAAATTACAATAACATCTATTAAAATTAAGCAAATAATAGTATAAAATTTTGAGTATAACTATCATGATATCATAAGTTCATAATAAAATTTAAAATATGAAATGAAAAATATATGTATTTTTGAGTTTTTTACAAGTTTTGTGTCGTGTTCGGGTTAGGCGGGTCCAACTCGAAATTGACCTGTGTTTTTCGTGTCAATTTCAGGTCGATCCAATTCTGACCCGAACCACTTTTTTTCTCAACCATAAGCCGCAAAATTCGTGTCGTTTTCGAGTCGTGTCGTGACCCATATTTCCGGCCCTAAGAAAAACACATTGTCACTCTTTTATTACAAACTAAAGCGCACACCAAAGCAAAAAAAACCCAAAACATCTCTGACACACGTTTTCGACGACAACGCAGCCAGTGAAAAGACCACGAAGGAAAAAAAATGCTTCGAAAGACAATTGGCATAGTTAGATAGAGACCGTCAAACGGGACGAATAATTCACACTCGCCCCTCTATCATGCTTCAGAAAAAAGCCTCCGAAAATACTCAGCCACCCAGCGTTGAAGGCACTGGAAAATACCTCTTAGACGTTTGGTTTCCAACTTCTAAATGACGCTCGATCCATCCTAACTAAGCCATCCCACATCACACTGCCACCGTCCCTCGACAAGACAAGCCCGAAGACTAATTTTCAAGGTCGGGATTCCGACGACATACCCCAAAATAGTGTCGTAACTCCGGCCAACACTCAGACTTCTTTTTTCTCTCGATCTAAAAACTAGGGTTTTGCTACTATAAATATATTAAATTCAATTTTAAGGAATGTTAAATAATTTTTACATGGAAACTGTCTCTCTCTCTCTCTCTCTTTCTTTCTACCATTGATAAAAAGATATTGTTCTAACAATTAGATTTACATTTACAGTTTGATTTATCAATGTGATTGGGAAAAGTGTCGACTAGAAAGGAAAGTAGGGAATCGAATTTTAAGAAGGTAGAACACACAAACTTAATTGGAACATGGAAAACCACCCCGTTAGTATAAAATAACACTCAAAAAATATGAAAAACACATCGCCACTATTTTATTACAAACTAAAGCACACACCAAAGCAAAAAAAAAAAAAAAAACCCACAATATCACTGACACACGTCTCCGATGATAACGCAATCAGTGAAAGGACCACGAGGAAAAAAGAATGCCTTGAAAGACAATTGACATAGTCAGATAGAGACCGTTAAGCAGGGTGAATGATTCACACTCTCCCCTCTGTCATGCTTCAGGAAAAAGCCTCCAAAAAACTCAGCCACCTAGCAATGAAGGCACCGAAAAACGCCTCTCAAACGTCTGGTTTTCAACTTCTAAATGATGCCCGATCCATCCTAACTAAGTCATCCCACAACACACTTGTAACACCCTCTTAATATAACCTTAATTTCAGGGTCATCTCTCCCAAACCACAACGAATTTATTAAAACCAATTTAGAGGCAAGTATTAGACACATAAATCAAGTTACTTTCAAATTTTCAGCTGAAAAAGGAGTTTCCTAGCTTAGGTAATTAAACCAAAACCTGAACCAAACTTAAAACTTACCTTAAGCTGAGCAGCCTTCAAATACACTAGTAAAACTTTAACCTCTTAATTAAATTTGCCAAAACTTTTTTACGAGTTTATTCCTGACATATAAAAGAACCCTTTGCACCAAAAATCAAAGCCTAATAAGCATCGCAACCTTCTGAACCATTATCAAAACAAAACCAAACCGAAGTAGTCCATTACCTTGGCCTAGTTTAGGTTTTCTAATGCTTCTCCACCCAAAATTGATCAAACCACTCAAGAAAACTTTTGATTCCTCAAAATCCTAACTTAAAATGGTGTTTGGAGGGAGAGTAGGGTCAAACTTGTAGAGTTTGGTGATGAAATGGCACCTAGTTGCATATTACTCTTTTAAACATTTAAGCTACCACCTTAAACTACTTCACCATGAAGCAATCACACCAAATCTAAATTAGTGTCCCATTTTTCAACATAGTCACTTATTTTATTAGGTGTTTAACATTCACCTAAAGTATAAAAACACCCAATTTGAAATTGAAATTGTAATGACTGAGAAAATTTCAGACCTTAAATAATACAATTCATATATTTTTAAGCCAAGGATTTTCTTAGAAAATATTATGTTATATTGTGAATGGAAGATTTATGGAATTAATATATGTATTCCTAAATTCTATAGTAAATTTCATGTTAAGTTCATGTTTCGATCAAGTAAATTCGATCGATAAATTCTCACCGTATTTTAAGGCGGAATAATTTTCAGTACAAGTATAGTTTTAGAATCTTAATTTCAAGAATCTCCAAGCACAGCACGATGTTAGCGGCGTATAAAAAAAATGCACTGACATTTTAAAAGAAGAAAAAAAATCCTTAATTGCCAGACAGTTAGGTTAAAGTCACAAGATAAATACCTATAGTAGATGGGTAGAATATGAGCTCGGGAGTTGACACTGTCAGAAACGTCATTCTCGGGATAGAATGCAGAAAAGTAAAATTTAGAATTTGTTCAGTCTAAAATTAATTTCAAGACTTGAAACAGTTTGAAATATTACGCGAGTAAGAATATAAAACAATATTGAATTATTCAGAAATTAATATTGGACTGTAAGTAGTAGATTAACTTACGTGAGCTAAACTAATTACCTCTAATCAGTATAAATTTAATCTGTTTAGAGGAAATAATTGAGGATAAGATCAGGCACGTAATCTTGCCTTAATCAGACACTTTATATAGTGAAATTTTTAGGGTTCTATCATTTTCACTCTCTTGCTTCCGTTCACACTCTCTCTCTCCTCTCACGTTCTCTCACAAAAAAAACCATCAATGGCCAAATACCCAAGTTCAGATTCCAACCTCTGTTTTTGACACCGCCGGTGTCAATAGAAAGATCTCGACGAGCTGAGTTCAACGACATACGGCACGACCTCTAACTCCGCCGGAATCAGCCGCAATCGCCGGCGGAAGTTCCGAAATTCCCATTTCTTCCCGTCGTGATATCTCCGCCATCCGACCTCTGATTGAGATGATTTCAGTCCCTATGGACTCAGTGCAGCGAGACGAAGAAAACCCATCCATTTTCACAGCTCGATTCGGCCCGGACCCCCGCCGTCCATGGTGGTCAGAATCATCGCCGTCGCCGCCGCCGTTTCTCTCTCTCCAGACCGTCGTGGATTTCACCGTCCCCACCAATCGACTCAGAAGCCGATGCCCAGTAGATCCCGACCAGCAGCCACCGTCGCCGTCGAAGTTTGGCCGGA